GCTGCGCTTTCGGCGCTGCGAAGCCGGCAGGCCGCGCGCTGGGTGCGGGGGCCTAGGGTTTAGGGTTTAGGGTTTAGGGTTTGGGATGGCGGAGGGCGGGGGCACCCCCCGCAGGGGGGCCAAGAACTACCCCCTGGGGGCCAGCTGGAAACAAATGGAAGTGAAGAACAAAATGCCAGCAGCAGTTCAGATAACTGCGGAGCAGCTGCTGCGCGAGGCGGTGGACAGACAGCTGGAAGATGCTGCTGCAGCAAAGCCGCAGCAAAGAATTGTCGACGAAGAAGAACTTGAGGTGTACAGACTCAACAAAAGAAAAGAGTTCGAAGACAGCATCCGCAGACAGAGACACCACATCGGCACTTGGATCAAATACGCCCTTTGGGAGGCGGCGCAGAGGGAGTTCCGCAGGCAAACCCTAAACCCTAAACCCTAAACCCTAAACCCTAGAGCCTGGACACTAGGCGTGGGGAGCGCGCCTGCAGGGTCTTTGGGGACGCGTGGTGGATAAGGCGGGGGCAGAGAGCCAAAGCAGCAGAGCTAATAACCCTGAAAACCCTAAACCCTAAACCCTAAACCCCAAACCCTAAACCCTCGCGGCCTTCCCTCGAACCCCCGCCACTAAATCCGAACCCTAAACCCTAAACCCTAAACCGTCGGCCTAGAACTTGAGCGGAACGTTTTACGCGCGGAACCAGAAATGCTAGGGCCCCAAACCCTAAACCCTAGACCCCAAACCCTACATCGCAAACCCTAAACGCCAAGCCCTAAACCCCGAACTCGAGCCCTCAAACCCTAAACCCCAAACCCTACGCCCCAAACCCTACACGCCGACCCCGAATTTCAAACCGCAAACCCTACACCCGACACCGAGGCCAAAACCCTAAACCCTAATTTGTGGTTTGCAGGGCGCGGAGCGTGTTCGAGCGCGCGCTACTGGTGGACTACCAGAACGTGAGTTTGTGGCTGAAGTACATAGAAATGGAGAGCAGCAACAAGTTCGTGGTTAG